ATTGCTGATCCTGTACACCAATGAGAATGATAAACACTGGAAAAATAAACAAAAACAATTAGATTTTACTTAATAGTTTCTTATAGAATCAGAACAAACTTGGAAAAAGCAAACCAGGCAATCTCATGAATTTTCTGCAAACATTACTTGAGGGTCCATGCGCATCCAAGTGCAAGGGTTCTCAGATATGTAGGCATGTAGTTCCTTATTATTGAAGAACATGACTTCAACTCTAATAATAATTAATTTTAATTTTAATAAATATTATTTTTACCTCATATTGTGGGATTTGACAGTTTTCAAACACCTTTGTCTTCTGTCCTTTCACCAATTCAATCATTTGGGAAATTTTGACTAATTAAAAACAGGTAAAATTTAATACATATACTTAACCTTATTTAAAATTATAATGAAAATATCACCATTGTTTATCAAGATACTATTATCAGCACTTCAACTGGTTTCATTGTGATCATTGTTTGCTTTTTTTGTTTGATTGTTTGTCTAACTATAATTATTGCTAAACTTGAAACACTCACCAACAGATTTTTCTTTTTCTTTTCTTGGTGACTCCCATTGCAAATATGTTAAATCTATTAAGTACAATTACGTATACTGTGAGTTATATTCTATACACAAAAATTGACTGATGTAGCTAGACAGGAGCTTTCTTGAATACAAAGACTGGTTCATAGAGTGTAATGTACCTTTAGACAATTTGAACTTCCTAAAATGAGGCCTTCCCTGATAAAGAAAAGACATAGATTTCATTAACTGACTCCACATTTATACAAAATCTGCTTGTTTTTTCTTAATAAATACGAGTAAGCCAATCATTTCTTTAGTAAATAAAATCTCCTGTATACTAGTATTCAAGACAGGGACTAACCATTCTTCCTGCTTTAAGCATAGTCATCCCCTTTGTCATCTCCAATACTGCCTGAACCTCTTCTTGTGTGGCTTGAACCATTTTGAAATCTTGAAATTAGACCTGTAAGCTAGATCTCAATAGAAAGATCTGTCCAGTGTTTAGGCTACCAAGCAAGTCTGATGCAGATTTCTAGGCTAGAACATCAATTAGGTACACACGTTGGATTGTTTTTTTATCTTCCCTATAATCATGGGGTATCATGTGTAGTGGTGGTTTCATAACAGAGGGTTCTGGCTTTATTTATATACAGTCAACAGTCCTCTTGCTTTTATGCAAAGTCTACCTTTCAAGATGACATACGGAACTATGAAGGAGTCTATTGACTAACTTCAAAATAGCATAAGTATTGTTTTGGATTGTTGGACTATCCTAAATGTGTTCCCCTATTGATTTGGCCAATAAATTCTCATATTGTCTACCAAAGAATGAACCTTGGAACCACCCTTACACATGCCACTTCTATGCAATTTTTCATATCATTAATGCATATTGTTCAGCTTCATTTAACTTACTCCAATCTATCATTTTCTCAGAGCTATAACAAAACGTATGTTTTCATGAAACAGAAGGCATTAGTTTCAGTTTCAAAGGACTTAAATTCTACAAAGCAAGCGACTATGAAATTTTATCACTTTTATAAAATAAGCTTATACAGGTACATTATTTTTACAGGGAAAATGCATTTTCTTCAAAATTTTAGGAATGCCCGTCATAACTATAAGACGTAAGCTTAAGTTAGTTCGAATATTTGCATTTCATGTCAGACGGAATTCCTGCCATCGTTTTGGTCCGAATGATAGTTATTACTAAGGACTTAAACGTGACTTTACCAGAATACCTAATAAAACTTACAACGTATTATAAGCTTATAAAAAAGTCGTATTTAATTACTTACTTAATGCATTAAGTTTATTAACTTACTTATACTTTAAAAAATAACCTTTTTCAGTCGACAAAAATCCGTTCATCAAAAGGTACAGCTCATGCAAATGATTCACAATATCTCATTTTGCTTCAAAAGAAATGATTATTTTTTAGATGACGAATAGTACGTACTGTGAGAGATGATATTTGACAATCTCAGCAGCGTTCGTTCTTCTCTCCTCTCCTTCCGCCATGTTTTGATTGACTTGCCCCAGTAATTTTCATCCACAGGAAGCCCGGAAGAGAACAACACAGCAGAATTCTCGTGGGTAGCATGCACTATAATAAAAGGCGCACGTGAATAGAGCCGAATATTTGGTAAGTTGACTGTAAAACTTGCAGACAATTATAGAGATTKTTAGCCTTCAATAAGAACAAAACGTACCAAATCAAATGTTTCACTTTTGCCGTCCAAACACCAATGAAATATGATGGAAATTGTTTTAATTTCCAGACAATGCTAACTGTTATGCAATCCTAATGTTCCTTTAAGAAAACTTGTCTTATTCCTCTATGTAAGCTTATATGAAATATTGTATTGTATTGTATTATGTACATCTTAAATCATTTAATTCGTACAGTTTTTTCGTTGAAATATAATGGCCGGTACCATGTTCGCCAATGATCCACTGGCGACAGTATCGGTTTCAAAATTTGGTTTCTTCGGATTGTCTTCCATTTGAATTGCAAAAAAAAAAACAGCGAAAAATGAATTTTACCATTCAACTTTTGAAAAGATAGAAAATGAGTTTTTCATTTATGACAGGATTCCATTTGATTGTTATGACGTCATATTTTCAGTATGTGACGTAATAGTGAGAAATTTGTACGTGGGAACCCCCCCCCCCCCCCCCCCCCCCCCACCCCATTGATAAATCGTAGATCCCTTCAGTAATAGGGACCCCACATTATTAACCTCAGATTTCTGGTCTCATGCTTTGACTTGAATGGTAACATGACTTTTCAAATACTTGTCTACATTGCCAGGCCAAAACAGAATGAAAACTTGGGCCGTCATCACAGGTGCTGGAACTGGTATTGGTGCTGCTTTGGCAAAGGAACTATCAGGGCATGGTTTTAATGTCCTTGCAATTGGACGTCGATTGACACCATTACAAGAAACTCAAAAAAGTTCACCAGACACCATCCATCCTCTTGCTGTAGACATAGCAACCTCAGATGGCCAAAGGAAGATACTGGATTTTATACCAGAGGGCGACAATATCAAATATTTGGTACAAAATGCTGCAGTAGGGGCACCATCAAGACTTCAGGATATACAGCGTGAAGAGTTTGAATATGCATTTTCAGTAAATGTCACTGCACCTCTCATGCTAGTCAAGGGATTTTTCCCAAGATTGAATAATAGCAAAGGAAGAATAATTCATTTGGGAACTGGAGTTGCTAAGAACCCACAGCTAGGAACAATTACCTATGGAATTACCAAAATGGCCTTTCAAAGGCTTTTTGAGCAACTGGTTGTTGAATTGAAAGGGTCAAATGTCCAAATTGCTGAAATTCATCCAGGCGTTGTTGATACAGAAGGATTGTGGGAGCACATTAAATTGGCCAAAGAACAAAAATTACCCCATGTATCATATTTTGATGAAGTTCAAAAAGAAGGAAGGATGTCTACTGCAGAAATATCTGCCAAATTTTTAAAATTTGTTCTTGTAGATTCATCAGATGAAGAATTCTCAACAGTTTGGAATATTCATGACAACAAACATTGGCAACATTGGAAAACAAATTAGATCTTGTGGTGTATGTAAGCTCTGGTTATGATTTATAAAAAAGTTTTTGACAACTATATTAGAGTAATTGCTGAACTCACCAAAACTACTGCATGTGAGGTGCAAACTTCCTGGGGGGGGGGGAACTCCCCTATAATCGCTATACGGAGTTGTGCCACCAACCAGGGTATCGTTTTCAGTGATTTTACTCTGGAACAGGGTTCTATTCTTAGCGATTTTACTCAGGGACAGGGTATCGATTTCAACAAATTTTCTCTGGAAAAGGGTCAGGGTTTAATTCTGGAATTATTGATGCTGGATAAAAATTGACAGGGTAAAAACTTGGTCTACACGCAAGCTAGTGCTGGATTTTACTTTGAAACAGGGTATCGTTTTAAGCGATTTTACTTTTGAAAAGGTTATAGTTTTCAGCGATTTCACTCTGGAACAGGTCAGGGTCCACCCAAGTTGGAGGGGAGTACTCCCCCCGGGAACAAATTTGCAGCCCATGAAACCCTGATTAGGTGGCTCATGTTTTCCTTTACAGCTGTGACAGGTTTTATGAAGAGTAATTGGTGCTATTTACCTGACAAATCCTTATACCTAGTGGATAAAATCTATAAAGTGGATAACTTTAACAAGTCAGTATAATTTTGTAGTTGGTCAACCCTACAAAGCAGGAGTTCTTTTTCTCTTTAGCTCGAAAGGAGTTCAGTTCGTCAGAGACTGGGTACTAATGTACACAAAATGCAAGCGCGCGCTGTATTTACTTGATTTGACATTTCAAACAAAAATAGTTTTCAGCGATTTCACTCTGGAACAGGTCAGGGTTTTGAGGTCCCAGCGGCACACCCCCACCCAAGTTGGAGGGAAGTACTTCCCCCGGGAACAAATTTGCGGCTCACAAAACCATGATTAGGTGGCTCATGTTTCGGCTGTGACAGGTTTTATGAAGGGTAAACAAGTCAACTGATTTCTTTGCTAATTCCTATATTCAATATTTTTAGAACGAAGAAAATGTTACGTATGTGGTGGCAGAGGCCACAAAGCACACAGGTATGCTTTATAAGTATTTGTAAATCTCGTGAATCTTTTCCTTTGGTAAAATTCCTTCCACCAAGAGATAAACCAAGAGATAATTATTCGTATTGTTATTTATCACCGCAATCGTCCCAAATGAGTTTTGTCTTTGTTCTGATTACATAAGGGAAAACCTGGCCTAAAACGTCAGAAATCGGTTATTCGAGAGATGAAAGTCAACATTTCCCCCAATAAGCATTTATGATTTTTTTAATAATAACCATTTCAAGTGGATACAAATAATAGCCAAAACATATCTTTCCTGATCGAACGTTTGGTATCCTCTGAGTTTCCGTGAATATTTTCTCTCCGAAATCCACTAAACAACAAATGACAAGTTTTTCCCTCGTGGAAACGATTTTTATTTTGAACTTGTGTTTCTTATTACATCATAGTAGATTACATTTAGTGTCACTCTTGCATGCGTCCCGCCAGTTTGCAGGCTCGACTATGTGTGCGTAAATATGAGCGGAAAAATCTGACAATTCATCAGAAAATACAGGATAAGTCTCCGTTAGTCCCTGCGTTTTTTTTTTCATTTATGACATTCATTCAATTTTTTTGTGATGAAAGTTTTTACTTTTTATGTGCAAATGCGATGTGCCTTGTGCGAGATATTTTATCAGTTATAAGAAAACCTGCTGCTCTTATTCTGAACGACCTGCAACGAAACACACCAATTATTAAATTCAAGAAATTCTGTTTTTACTCTCAATTCAAACCGTTTCAGAACTCTCGCATTTTTATACAGAAAGGCATGTACAATTTAGCCTTGTACCCTGGACGATGCTATCTTTTCTCCAGCACGCCCAATGTCATTCAAACAGCGATCTCCATTTTGAGATCAGAGAAGAGCTGGCAGATTGTAGTAGTAAACCTTGTGACCCCCCTGGACACGCCCCTGGACTATTCAATATTCTTGATATTTTGTCTTTGAACGCTATACTTACATGTATTAGCGCTCATCTTCGCCTTGGCATCTTCTCTATAATTCTTCCATTCGTCAGCTGTTGTCAAGACGTGTTCGTCCCAAAACTCCATCAACTGGCGCTTGACTTCATTTATGTACACTTTACACTTTTCTTCCAATTTATTGCGGGCGTCATATTCTCCACCAGTGGCGGTACATTTGTTGTCGTTGATCATCTGCGTGCATTCAGCTTCACACTTTCCTCCCGAACACTTGATTGTCCCCAAATACCCACCCCGAAAAGCACTATCTGCTCGACCAGAAGGCCTTTCTTTAATACCATAGAAATCGTTTTCCTCGTATTGCCTGGAAAATGGAAAACAATGAATGGCAGCTGCTGAATTAAGATCATCTGTAACTTGACATAACATCTTGTTGTTACATTGTTATTATTCGTAAAGAATATTTACTCATCATATCTTAAATGGAATTCAAACCTATCTATGCTAAAGCATCGATAAATCCTATCTACTATGGCTAAATTAGAAATTTCACAAATTTCAGGTTCTTATAGCTATATTAAACATACCTGATGTAAGTCCACTCGTATGACCACCTAGCGTATCGATAATAAAGATCAGCCGCCTCCATCAATTCTTTCACGTATCTCTTGTAGTAGGCACATGCTTGTTTGTCAGTATTTATAGGCTGTGCGCGATAGGACGCTTCTAGAGTCTTGAGTGCGAGGAGGTGCAGTGATGCAAAGTCCCGGAATGGTATAATTCCAACCTCGAGGAGTTTAACCTGATTGTGTGTCACACATTGCAGATCCCTTACACCTTCGCCACAATACTTCTCCAAAAATTGCCACCAACCGCCACTGGCTCTATGTCTAAAGTTAGGATTGTAAGACTGTACAGCACCATCATCAGGATGCCATTTCATTTTTTCAAATTCCTTGTGAAGCGGCTGGAAGTGATAACGACTGGTGCGTAGAGCTTCGACGGCACGACGTTGGCAGTCGTTTGTATCCGGAATATTCACCTCCCTGACACACCCAGACCATTTATCGAAAAGCTCTCTGTAGTTGTTACTCATAATGTTTTTTTCGGTCTGTATATTCTTGGCGTCAACATAGTCTTGCATTTGATCCATCATGACGTTGACCTCTTCGGAAAGAAGCTTGACAGACTCGAACGCTCTATCCAAGATATCTTGTGGTGAAGGCGACTTACTAAAAAATCCAACCCCAACCGTAATGATCCCGATAGCTGCTGACATTTGAGGTGCTGCTTTCATAACATCACCAATTGCATCAATCATTCCGAGGGTTGCAGCAGTCACTCCACTGCCCTTGTTGAAGTATTCCAGACCTTGCTGAAGAATAGTGCTTTCAAACTTCGCAGGTTTGACAGCTCGACTTCTTGATACTGAGTTGATGGCTCCAGGTACGTAACCACGGTATTCGCAATGCCCAGAAGTCTTGATCGTCGGTGCTGATTGTGCTGATTCAAGGATAGCCATCAAAATTAGAACTAAAGCAGTACACGCTCTTGGTTTTGGTGCAGACATGATTTGTCTTTTTGGACTATGTTGTAAAAACAGAACATTTTCAGATTGATTGAATCATAATAATCAATACTCGTGCAATTTTGCAGTCAATCGCCTTCTAGTCTCAATCTTGAAACGCAAGACAAAGCTGGAACTCTCCTCATGAAGCCCCTGCACATAATTTCTTTTTCAAAATATTCTATGACATTTTAAAGGTAAAATTTTATACAACTCGAATGAAAGTACATGACTCGCTTTTCGACTGCGGACAAAATTGAGTAGAGCACAAGATCACTATTTTTGTATTAAATTTGCCACCCTTACCTTTAGTGGAGATGCCTCGGTGTCGACTGTCAGTACTGTCTCTACCTCTCTTCTTTTATTGGCGTCCACAATAGAAGAAGCGATCCAGAAGAACGATCCAGAAGATCAAATTCATGAATCAGTCAATCAATCAATCTGCTGCCGTGGGCCGGGCCCACATAGCGCTTTCACAAAGGATCTCCACGCTATGTGGGCCCGGCCCACGGCAGCAGATTGATTGATTGATTGATTCATGAATAATAAGTTTAACAATGAGAAATCCATTGACACCGGATGATTGGCTAGTCAGATATAACCCCCAAGGTGTAAATAGCGATGCTCAATGTTTATCAACAAAGTCATTCCTATGTTAATGTGCCAACCATGATCAGAATCGCTTTTCACAAGTGGCTTTCTTCTGACAGTCAATCGTCTTTTGGGTGGCACATGAATAACAAAGCCTTTTAATTAAAATTACGTCGCATTGAGCATCGCAATATATACATAGACACAGGCACAACGGATCGTATTTGTACCAGCTTAGGGTATTAGAGCGTGCCAACTGAAGTGTTGACGTGGTTAGTTCAGAGCTCGAAGCGTTAAACCGCATTGATTTCAGTCTGCTTTGTCCATTTAGACGGGGTATTAGGAGGAGCCGACGGGTTCCTGGGAGAAATACATCTGTTTTTATGTCCCAGCCAGGTGTAAGTCACAACTGGTTGCCAGCGAAAAATTCAGGAAAGAAGAACTCTCCATGCAATGATTACTTTATAAGAATTTTTTCCAGGAAAATAAAATTTTCCTAACTAAAAAAATATAAGCCGCTTTTGACCATAAAAATGTTAATTCAAAGAAGGAGGGGCGCCAGATTTGAAATTTTCAGCAATGTAGCTCAAAAATCCCTTTCCCAGGAAAAAATTCGTACAAGAACAGTTATTTAGAAGAACAGACCCTGTCGACTCCTCCTGGGGGTATCTCACTTGAGAGGTGATTACCCATCAGTAAATGATTGCGTGTTACTGTGAGATTACACATGCTGAAACGTTATATTATAACACACCTCGGGGATGCTAACATGAGAAAATGCTATTCTAGGTATAAAGGGTGTACTCTTTTGTAGTAAAAAAAATCCCTAAAGAAATGAAAAATCTAAAGAGTTAGCAGCCACCCTAGAGATCGCATGTTAATATTTATGACGTTTTAACATGCCTCATGGGGGTACTTATGAAGGCAACGCCAAATCTAGTTCTTTCCATACTTACAAAAACGTTTTCCTCACATTAGATAAGTCTTTTCCTCAAGGTATTCTCACCTCGATTCAGTTATTTTGTAAACGAAGTTTAGAGATGATACATGACAATATAGAAAGATCCCTGGCAAGTGAACAGAGGGAAACCGTTTATTATACTGATGATATCTTTGTCTGATTTGGAACTATAGCGGCGAAAAACTGTGTAATGTTAAACGGTAACTTGCAGTGTTTACTACTCAGCTACATTTAGTATATGTTGCAGCCATATTTTGATAACGTGAGAAAAGATTCGCTACATTGAGCCTGTGACAGCAGGAAAGAGAAAGGGTGTACATGACAAAACGTGCCCCTAGGAAGTATGGCAGTAGAGCAAGAGTCAGTACAAACATCAACGGGAGACTTCACCATGTTACTCTTGCTCATCGAGGCAGAAGAGTGTTTACGTGATAGATTCTTCGAGCTCTGATTCACTTTGATTTAGACGTGAATTCCCCCGAATTGCCCTTAATTGACTGATGCATATTGACATAATAAACACTTGCATACTGAACTGAAGAACTCAATTCAAAATACATTTTACATCTTTTTTGCTTTTATTAGCTCTCAAAATTGCTTAAGTACGAAAAAAGGGGGACAAGATTTTTAATTGATCTTAGCACAGTAGCTATGATGATCTATTAACCTCAGAGTTTGTAGTTTAAAGTTATCAATAGTTTATAGTTATCAAACAATATTCAAACGTTTATTTCCAAAGTTCACTCGCGTGCATTTCCCGATCATGCCAAATACTTTGCAGAACGTATGAAAAAACTTATGCATAAAATCTTTGAGCAGGAGAAGTAAGACCTATAAGATCAAATAAGATATATTGCTGAGAATAGGGTATTAGAGCGTGCCAAGTGAAGTGTTTTTGTGGCTTCTTCACAGATTACAGAGTTAGTAGAGGGGAACAGTTCCCCTCAGCTGACTCTGCAGATTATAAGTTTTCAATTGAAGGAAACTTATGAAAATCTTTGAGCAGGAGAAGTAAGGCCTATAAGATCAAATAAGATCACAAGATACTGATAAGATTTCTGATTTTTTTTGGGAAATTGTGCAAAGTTACACAAAGTTATTTATTGAAATTTTGTCCTTTTGTAAGTTTGCCGTAGGACTATTTCGCTTTAGAGGTGATAACCCAGTCTGTTCGTGATCGCGTAACGCGACGTGACTCTTTGTTTGTCCTACATTCTTTTCAGTTCCTTTTTTTTTCCNGAAAGTTTTCTGTTAAAGGCGAAGAGATCTCAAGTTATACGATCGACACCTCTTCTACATACGAACCAGTACTCTAAACAATCGTATCATAGAACAGCAATAACTGCCCGGGATTTACTGTAGTTTTTAGTAATTCTTTGATATTCGAGGCCTTTTGTTATTCCAAAACATTCATCTGTGTAAGAGCATGTATTAGGACATTGGTTTAGGTCTTAAAGGTTGGTGTATCGAGCCAAATAGTTCATTTTCCTTGGCGAGATATAAACGTCATAAACCGATACTTCGTAGCTGACTACGTGGCTGTCTGATTCTGAGTTGCATAGATATTTTCTAATTTGATGAGGGATTCTGTCTCTTCTGGTTAAAGAAAACAATGCTATTCACAGATGAGTATTCCTAGATGAAGATCATTGAAGCGATCATGAATGGTTATAGAGCGGGGCCTTCTTGTTTGCGAAGATCGCTCGCCACATGGCGTCCAGCTGTCTGATTTTTATACTGTAGTATACTTGACCTTTAAATTACTACAATATTCTTACTATGTTTCACGCGAACTATCAGAGTGAACGATCAAAACGATTTGATTCTACGCTTTTAAAGATTTGTCAAAAATTATTGTATATCTAGTTCCTTCAAAAGCTGCTAAATATTACATGAAAAGTAATCAACAAGGAGTTACTTTCATCACTTTGTGATTTATCAGTATAGATGAACTGCATGCCTTTGGTAGTACTATTCTTTACATCTAAACCAGACCCTCCTAAGAGCGTCAACTCGGTCGAACTATTTTTGTGGCTAGTGCCTCGGAACGAGGCTCAAGCTACTATGCTATCGCCTGGAGTGCGTTGTGAATGTAATTCGGCATAACATCGCTTTATCTCCGATTACTGATCGTGATCCCTCGTCGATCCTTCGTATGTCATTTCTGTACAGACTTTGATTACTGGGTTCCCTGTGTAGTTACCATCCTCTCTACCTATGGTGGATCCCTCGGGTATAGTTGAAATTCACCTAAGCCTCCCTTGCTTAGTAGTCCGTCGCTCTACCGAACACTTTACCGTATAATATCCTTCAACCATTCGGCTTTAACAACACTTTATAGTAGAAAATCGAGGTTTTCCCATCCTTGTGGGATGCTGTGAAGTCAGAGCTAACTGATCTTAGTTACCTAGCCTCGCACATGCGCATCAACACATCCAATTCATTACCAGACTCCTCAATAATCACTGCCAAAGTCATTCGTATCCGATAGATGTCCGGGCGTTCTCCGAATTCAGGCGACCGCCTGCTCCGAATTAATATTGACAAGAAGAATTTACCATGTGCTAACAAATCCAAAGGTGAGTTTTGATTCTTCAAGTCATGTTTTTACACTACTTTACATCAAAAGCCAGGCTTAGCTTTCGGTCTTTGCTTTTAAAAGTTTTTCCAGGTTTTCTGACGGTTTTTACCTGTAAAGAAAACAAGCGAAGTATCGAAGCGTATTCTGTTGAGACGTGAAAAAGCGGTTTATCCTACCAAATCCTGTCGTTGTGTGCACGAATTGTCGACCTTTAGCTGCTACCAAGAATTATGTTCTAATGTGGGAGCCAAAATTCTCTTTCAAGAGAGCCAAAAATCCCTTCGGGGAGCTATGTTGACCGTTCGCGGGTGCCAAACAAATTCCCTTCGGGGAACTATGAAAACTGTACTCCCTCGGGAGCATCAAAACAAATCAACAATCGAGGTAACTAATGGTGGAATAAATTGTTTATGCCATGTTAACTCAGAAAACGATTTAAAAGAAAACGAAACATGCACTTCAATGAATACTTCAATGAAAGTTGAGCCTGGTTCAAGTAATTTTCAGGAGATAAACAACAACTATTTCAATGTATCAGAGCAAGTAAAATGTATTAAAGATATAAGCTTAATAGAACTAGCATGTGTACAAAATCACAGACATTCTCGACTTTGCTTAAAGTCACCAAATCGAAGAAGACAAAGAGAGCCATCTAGAATAAATTTGAAAAAGATCATGATTATATTGAAAAATAGAAAACATCGATGCAAGTCTAAGAAAATACTGATAAGATCAGGTTCAATTTCATCTGTTGTTCATAAAATTGCCAGAAATTATAAGAAGTGGAGGTTTATAAGATATATTAATAGACAAGACAGTTTCTATTCATTTTATTTTATGAGAACTAGAATTTCTCCTGTGAAATATAATGTATCTATACAAAAGCTTTTATTATCAGGTGATGTTGAATTGAATCCAGGGCCCATGATGGGAAATTCTATTGAAAATATTTCCTTTGTTAACCCATGCAGATTTCATTTTTTACATTCTTATTTTAGACATACTATGGCTCAGAACATACAAAGGTAAGTATTATCTGTAATGTGTTACAATAACATGAGGGAAATAAACTTATTTTGTCCTTTTTTCTTTTTTTTAGGCAATCAAATGATTCTTCAGGTTCAGATGAAGTTGAAGGATATATACACAACTTAACAAGTATAAAGACTGCAAAAAAATCTGGAACAAATTATTTCAACTGCGAACTTCAACTAACAGATAATGACCTCGTTAAGGTGTTTCGATAGTAATAAATAGCGTTTCRCGCGTATTTTTAAACTCCAACTACGTCGCAAATTTCGATTCAATTGCACTCAAATTTTCACAGAAGTAACAGTGATTATCGATAATTCTTGTTGATAAATTAATTTGGCAAAAAGCGAAGCCATTTGGATAAACGATTCAAAATAAAAACGCCTTCATTTTTTTCAAAATTAATTTTCTCGAAACTCATCGCAGAGATTGTAATAAAATTTTCAGAATCATTTTTTAATAACATAATTGATATACTGACGAAGTTTCAAAAAAACCTTAACATAAAATTTCGAGTTGATTGAGCAAAATGATGTACATTCGAACAACTCGAAATTTTAGGTTAAGATTTTATTGAAACTTCGTCAGTATATCAATTATGTTATTAAGAAATGATTCTGAAAATTTTATTACAATCTCTGCGATGAGTCTCGAGAAAATTAATTTTGAAGAAAAATGAAGGTGTTTTCATTTTGCATCGTTTATCCAAATGGCTTCGCTTTTTGGCAAATTAATTTATGTACAAGAATTGTCGATAATCACTGTTACTTCTGTGAAAAATTGAGTGCAATGTAATCGAAATTTGCGACGTAGTTGGAGTTWAAAAATACGCGCGAAGCGCTATTTATTACGATCGAAACACCTTAAAGCAGTGTGCTTCTCACCGAAGAAAAGAATAAATCTACAACAGGCATTTCAGATTTTATACCAAATTTTGTAATTATTTTTATATGCTCTACAGTTATATAATTACGTTGACAGTTTTGTGCTAAAAAATAAAATTGTTATAAAATTGCCTTCTTCAAAGATTTTGTCATGCCATGCATCTCATGCTCGCACAAACATTTTAAACAAAGATGACAGAGGCCATATGCAGTCATCAATTGCTATTTTTTTTAAGCCTTCTTTATACTAGCACTAGCCACATGCAGTCTTTGACTGCGTATTTTTGAAAATTGAGAAAGACAGTATATTACATGGTTGGTCAAACAGAAGAAAAGTTTTAAATGAACTCATTTTGAAAAAGTACTGAATAAGACAGCACTTTTCAACACATTTAGGGCGCGAGTACACCCTGATGTCAGGGTCTAGTTTTGTAAAATATGCTTCTTGACCTGAGAGGTCATTTTTTAATTAAAAACGTGAAACCTTACACCAAGATATCTGATWATCAAATGCATTGCGCCATTTCGTCTAGCAGTTTTAAGAGCATTTAAAGCATTTATTTTGAATTTATTTGAAAGAGTTGCATTTGGAGATTCCCCTAATTAGTATAAGCTGGTCCATGTACAAAAAACGGGATAAGTAAATAGGGTTCTTTCCTTTAAACATTGCATCAAAAATTGTTAAATTATAAAGTGTTGTTTATATGACCTTTTTAAATCTCACGAAATTTGCATATTTTGAATGAGCTACACGCTTTTACAGCGTGAAGTCGGGATAGCTATTTTTGAAAATTGAGAAAGACAGAATATCACTCCTGGATCGATATTTCTAGTGTTTTGATGTCGTTGCGACAAGCCACCAGAAAAGAATATCGTGGTGCGTGAATAAACAAACTAGATAAGATATTCTATGCCATAAATTACTTTCATATATAATTATATGACTGTCAGAATATTACATGTTTTTTTAGATACGAATTTTATCTTATCGTGTTGAACTCTTTCGCTCTTCACGTATTCGCAAATCCAAGTAATTTCTCAATTTTCCAAAATAGCTAGCCCGACTTCACGCTCCAAGAGCGTATAGTTTTATGTAGTGACATGGATTTTACAGCCGGGTCAGCGTTATATTATGCGCTGGCTACAGAACTGAGTTTGTTTTCATTATGAATCCCTCATCGTTCAAAGTCCGCATTTCATAGTTCAAAGATAGTCAAGTCATCTGCAAAAAGGACTACTGGATGGAAATGAACTATTAATGACGATGTAAGAAAACGGACACTGAAAGCTGATCCGACCCCGGGGGGATGGAAAAAATGTCAGTATAATTGCAGTTTTGATGGTTGCGGCGTAGATAGCTATTCCTTATTTTTCCGATTTGTCTTGAACAGGGTAGGGATTTTCACTTTCTCACTTTCTAGTGTCTTAAACAGGGTCAGGGTTTTAGGCCACTGGCGGCACATACCTATCCAAAACGGCGACGAGTACCCCCCTCCCCCTCCCTCGCGATTCTGTTCGTTAATTACCGCCTAGAGGGGGTCAGAGCTTAGTGTTTATGCAGGGAGTGGAGCCAGACTGTTCAGGGAAGGGGGGGGAGGACGTGGTTAGACAATTGGGGCAGGGTGCAATTTTTGTAAAAGAACCAATTGTATGGGGACGTTTTTCAACTTGTCTGATTTTATGGGATACATTTTTGATCTGCTGCTTTTAATTAGGGGGCTTTTTTATGCATAACAAGTATAAATATCTTCACCCCCCCTCCCCAAACAATGATTTTTAAAATCATCAACCAACCCCCTCCCTTCCCCCATGAGCTAATAAATGAAAAACCCCTTCACAATCTAAACACCAGCCCTCTCTTGACAATAATTAACGAACAGTACCCTTAGGTACAGATAATAACACGCTGTCCAGTCTGCGTTTTTTATATTTAGTGACCTTTATTATCGTCAGTGATGATTCGTGTTAGGTTATATCATTTACGTTTTGCCTTTTCATGTGCAATTGTGATTACAATACATTTTATGGAAGTGCATAAATGTGCGTGCAAGATATTTTGTCAGTTATGGAGGAAAACTTGCTACTCTTGACCTGCAACGAAAAAAACACCAGTTATCAAAATTCAAGAAAAGCTTTGTCGGTTGTGGGCAATGTTAAATATTTCTATTCTATGTCAAAAAGAACTGTATATTTTTTCTTTAACCTTATCCCCAGGCTGGGAACGAGACTATGTATAAGATTTTGACATTTTGTGATGGCCTTTTCAACTATTTTTGCTTTTGTTTGATATTTAACGCTATACTTACATTTAGCACCTTTCAACTTCGCCTTGGCATCTTCTCCATATTTCTTCCACATTTCAGATGTTTTCAAGATGTTTTCGGTCCAGAAGTCCATTAGTTGGCGCTTAACATCATTTATGTATCCTTGACACTTGTTTTTTATTTGTTCTTTGAGGGTTTCAATTCCTGCTCCAGTGGCGGTACAAGTGTTATCTTTGATCGTCTGCGTACATTGCATTTCGCATTTATTTCCAGAACACTTCCGTGTACCCATAAACCCGCCAAAATCACTATCCTTTTTAATTGTTCTACCGGTGGATCTTGCTGGAATGCCATAGTACTCGTTTTCTTCGTATTGTCTGAAAAATATAAAAATTAATGAATGTCATCACAACATCATCGTCCACACGTATCCGGACACCTTTGAAAAATCCGTGGATATCAACCTTTCCATTCTGTTTATATCACATTTCCTTCGCGAATTTTTATTGAGGTAAGGTAAATACACTCCGTTCGCAGGGTAGTCTATATTTCATTACACATTCATGGTAGGAATTGGAGATATAATTGTAATAGTTATGTTTATATACCTGATGTAAGCCCACTTGTAAGCCCATTCTGCGTATCCATGATAATAATCAGCCGCATGGATCAACTCGCTCAAGTATCTCTTGTAGTAGGAACAAGTCTCTCCTCTTAATGACTGTGCTTTATACGTCGCTATCAGAGTCTCCAGTGCGTAGATATGCAGTGTTGCAAAGTCCCGGAATTTTACAATTTCAACCTCAAGGCGTCTGACCTGATTGTGCGTCAGGCATTGCATTTGTCGTTTGCCACTGCCGCATTCCCTTTGCAAATATTGCCATACTCCTGCAGAATTTCTTGATCTAAAATCAGGATTGTAAGACTGTACATCCCTGTAGTGTTTTGTACACCAGAGATCAAACAACAGAAACCAGAGAGAAAAGATCAAGGCTGACACGACGCCATTTGCAGTTTCGGAAGCGTGCTTTTATTCTAGAAACGAGGCTACCACAGGTAACCCAAACCAAGGATGACTATAATATAGCTACATTACATCCCCCTTTCTATTTTACAAAACATAATGTTAACATGTTCAAACAAACAAGCTACTTTCTTGTAATACAGATCTCTTGCTTATATTCTATACATAAAATAGTTGATAGGTGTTGCGGTTGCGTAAATGATTTTGTTAACGGCACGAAAACGTTTTCCATATTTTGTTTGGATTTGATTTTAGATGGACTTATTTTTAATACATTTTCATCATACATTTTAAGCACTACACTGCACGTAAGACAAGTCAGACGTTTTGACAAACTCGAGTACATCATTATTGACGAGAGCGCAAGTTAGTAGCTACTTGATTCTGCATGGCTGATATGTATAGCTGTTTCAGAGCTCGAAGAATCTATCAGACGTAAACACTTCATCTGCTGTGCAAGAGTAACTCCATTGTGATGGCAGAGATCAGCATGATTCAGCCTTTATGACACATCGGGGTTGCTCTACACGAAACATATTCTATTCTAGCCAGAAGGGCGTTCACTTTTGTTATAGAAAATTCCCCAGGGATTAGAAACAAAAGAGTTAGCACTATGTTGGCAAAACATATTATTTTCCCATCTCACTTAATTATGGAGTAATTACTTAATTATGGAGTAATTAAGGTAACGCCAAACCTTCTACTTTCCATACTTGAAAAACAAAAGACTTTTTTCTGTATAAAATACGTGTTTTCCTCAATGTATTAGAAATATAATACACGTAGAAATGAGGTATTAGAGTGTACCAACTAAAGTGGCGACGTGGCTTCTTCATAATTGAGGGCAACTTAAATCCTATGGGATCACCTAATGTGTCTTTTTGAAGCAAATCACGGTTCTGCATGGAAGAACATCGGATTTTTTCCAAAAAATGTGCAAAGTTGCGCAAAGAGGTTTTACAGCTATCAAATTTACTGTTTGTTGTCGTTAGTCATATTTTGATTAAAAGATTCTT